ACTAGCGATTTACGCCATAGTGAAGATTGAAGATGAGAGTGGAGAGAAAGTGAGTGAAACTCACTTTTGGACTCACACACACACAAGGGAAAGTTGTGATTTACACAACACTAGAAAAATGGACAATGCATGAGCACAACATCACAAAAACACTAGAATGAACCAAGATTGCACTAGCGATTTACAACATGGTGAAGATTGAAGGAGAGAGTGGAGAGAAAATGAGTGAAACTCACTTTTGGACTAACACACACACACAAGGGAAGTTGCGATTAACACTAGAGTATCAAAATGGACAATGCATGAGCACAACATTACAAAAACACTAGAATTAACCAAGATTGAGCTAGCGATTTACACCATAGTGAAGATTGAAGGAGAGAGTGGAGAGAAAGTGAGTGAAACTTACTTTTGGACTCACACACACACAAGGGAAAGTTGCGATTTACACTAGACTATAAAAATGGACTATGCATGAGCACAACATCACAAAAACACTAGAATGAACCAAGATTGAGCTAGCGATTTACACCATAGTGAAGATTGAAGGAGAGAGTCGACAGAAAGTGAGTGCAACTCACTTTTGGACTCACATACACAAGGGAAAGTTGCGATTTACACTACACTAAAAAAATGGACAATGCATGAGCACAAATTCACAAAAACACTAAAATGAACCAAGATTGAACTAGCGATTTACACCATAGTGAAGATTGAAATAGAGAGTGGAGAGAAAGTGAGTGAACCTCACTTTTGGACTCACACATACACAAGGGGAAGTTGCTATGTACACTAGACTATAAAAATGGACAATGCATGAGCACAACATCACAAAAACACTAGAATGAACCAAGATTGAACTTACGACTTATACCATAGTGTAGATTGAAGGAGAAAGTGGAGAGAAAGTGAGTGAAACTCACTTTTGGACTCACGCACACAGAAGGGAAAGTTACGCTTTACTGTAGACTAAAAAAAATGGACAATGGAGAGTCTATAATTAGTGGAAAGTCTTCTACTGGCTATCCAAATCGTTGGGAGATATCTATAGAGGAAGAGGAGAAGAGAAGAAGAAGAGGAGGAAGAAGAGGGGAAGGGGAAGAAGAAGAAAAAAAAAAAAAAAAAAAAAGGAAAAGAAGAGAAAGAAGAGGAGGGAGAAGAAGAAGAGGAAGGAGAAGGAGAAGAAGAAGAAGAAGAAGAAGACTCTCTCCACTCACCTCTCCTTGGTCTAGAAGTTGATGAAGCTTCTCCTTACCTAGCTACGACTTTCTTCTTCTTCAAGCCCTTCCCCTCCTTCCTCTTTTACTTCCTCCCTAGTTGCCACAAACTCCAACCAGTATGGCTATGAAGTCCTTCCCTCTAGGAGGGCTAATGGGACTCTCTCCTCCTCACACCCTGGGGGCTATGTCGGATCACCTTCCAAGTGCCATCCTCCCTACCACCAGCCTCTAGAGCTCTTCTCCTAGCTCCTAGTCTCCTCTTAGCTCCCATACAGGCATGGGTTCCCCTCTCCTCACTCCAAGTGAGTGTGGTGCTCTCATGGGCACATTTGGGCAGCATGGGCACTCCTCTTGCAAATGGGAGGGTGGCGGACTGAACTCCCAGCCTATGTAGGCTGAAACCAACAGTCCGGCCAACCCCTGGGCCTCCCCATGTGCCCCATGGTGAACCGAGGTACCCCCATGCCCAGTTTTCACCACTAGGCCTCTCCGGGGGCACCTGAGCCTCATTTTGGTGAGGTTCATGCAGTCCGAGTGGTTGGTACCAACTCAGAATGCCCCTCGGGGCCTCTTTTCAGCCTTATGGCATTTGAAAAATGCTGCCCCCTTGAGTCCAAGGCCCAAGGGACAACCTACTTGGGAGAAAAAGACCTACATGTGGCGGCACATTTTCAGCCTTGGATCAGGCTGAGATCCAAAGCCAGCATTATTTTGATCTACTCCATGGTGGTCCTTGCTTCAAATTTGAGCCCCTAAGTCCAATTTTTCAATTTTTGGTGCATCTGGCTCTCCTTTTGGGCCAAATGCACAGTTCCGTTTTTTTCCCTTTTTGTTTCTTTCCATTTTGGGCTGCCACCTCATTCCGGAGCTAGCAGTTTCGAGCTGGCCCACAAAAAACGGTTGTTTCCCCTCCACCATGAGATCCGATCTCAGATCCATGGCCAAAAAAAAAAACGGTAATTTTTCTTTTGCATTTTCTCTCATTTTTTTCTTTTTAATTCAGATAATGTGGAGATATGGCCCCAAGGGTCATATCTCAGCAATCCGGATTGCCCTCCCCCATTCTAGAAGGGATGAGGTCATCATTGGGATCTGCCAGTCCCTACTGCAACAGTCCCAATAGGTCGACACATTCTTCTCCACCCTTTTCTCCCGTTTTGTCTCATTCTCCCCCATTTTTACCCCTTTTTCTTTTCTTTTTCTTTTATTTTTGTTGTGACAAGTGTCAAATAGCTGTGCACTCTCTTTCTAGGCCTTGGAACCTCATTCATGGCCAGGTTCATGGCCGACTGTTGGCCGTTACACCTCGGACCTCAATAATGGCTCCCCCATGTTCCTAGGGGGCTCCAATCTACCTCCGTTTGTCCGATTTTGAGCCCCCTTGGCTCCGATTTTTCTTTTGACAGCCTTTTTTTGGCACGGGCCCCTTGAAGCTCTATTTTCACATGCCTAGCTAGTCCGAAATATCTCGGACTGCTGGGCATCCGTCCCAACCCCCGTTTTTTTCTTTTCTTTTTGCCGCTAGTCCTTCCCTTTGGGCACTAGTGGTGTTAATATTTGCCACCGTTGGTCTTGTGCATCCACTCGGCGCCGTTGGTCTTGTGGATCCACTTTCCACATTGGCTTGTAGTTTCTCTTGTGACACCTAAAGTCCCCGCCGCTTTCCCATGCTAGTCCCATTTTTCGGTCCCGCCGTCGGCGCCGTCGACAAAATCCCAGTTTTTGACAATTTTCGTTGGGGTCTGTTTAGTCCCCGACGTCACTTTGGTTGATGTCCCATTTTTATTTGGGACTCCCCTTGTCCCCAACAGTCCCAATATATCTTTCGTGAGTGCCACATGTGTGCCGATTTTTCATGGCCGCGAGATCTCATCTCACGTAATGATTTTACTTTGCACGTCTTTTTCTACTTCTAATGCAGCTACTTGTACCTCTACTAATTCTACCTCTAGTTCAAACGACTCTGCTTCAAATCTTGTTGTTTTGGCTACACCTATGCAAAATTCGGTATGCTTGCACCAGATTCTAAAGATCTACCACCGGAGATCCCATTAGAGATCCGGAGTCTTCTCAACTGATTCCTTAAGTTTTGGCCGAACCACGTGGAGTTTTAGTGCGTTCGGTCTCACACAAGATCGAGTTGACAGAAGGCAACACTCCTTCAAAGGGTTGTGTCTATCGAATGGGCTCAGGTGAATCGGAGGAGTTGCGAAGGCAGATTGATGACATGCATGAAAAAGGTTGGATGAAGCCAAGCGAATCCGAATTCGGTGCACCAGTTTTGTTTGTCCCTTAGAAAGGAGGCAAGCTACTGATGTGTATCGATTACCACAGGCTGAATAAAATAACAAGAAAGAATGCATACCTTTTGCCACGCATTGATGATCTGCTTGATACTGCAGGTGGATGCAAGGTCTTCAGCAAGATCGATCTCAAGTCTGGTTACCACCAGATTGAAGTTGACCCTGCAAACCAGCATAAAACTGCATTCAAAACTCGAGATGGGTTGTACGAATTTACCGTTGTCGGCCCTAATACCCTTACAAGGGTATTTGGGCACGATTTTGCATCCCACAGAAAATGCGTTTTTCAGTATTATTCGAGAGAATGACTCGCTTTTTAGTGACCGCGATCAACTCTCAGGGATTGGGAGTGAGACACGTTGTTGGGTTGATTAGAGAGTGTGTGAGCGTGCACTTTGTGGGCACGCGTTAGCCTGGTCAAATAATTGATCGATATAAACTATGAGACGCTGGTAAGTGGGTGTTAGGCTAGAATCTTGGACGAGCCGCGACCTCGGGCACGCAGACGAAGTCGCGACCAGCGCAGAGTTGGCCCGGTGAGACGGTGACTAGAGGAGAATGTTGCCCGACTTATTGAAAACTAGCATTTTGGGGCCGCGCTGTGTGAAGTTACGCAAAGCACTGGGTTGACTAAGCGTCGTCGGCAGTAGAGGCTACCAACGAGGCTGCGTAAGGCGAACGTGAACTAATGCAAAGGCCGGGTTTCTTTGGCAAAGAGGTAGTAAAGGGGTGGTCTCCTTGACGCATGCGGCAGAAATAAGGACTTTGGCCTCTGGACGTGGCATTGTAGGGGTTACTAGCGTGACATACCGAGCAAGATCCGTTCCCTAACAGCATGTGCCCACGTACGGGGCCTTGGGCTTGGAAGGGAAGTCAGGTAGCAGCCTTAGCGCTGCTGCTACGGGCCCAAGCTGGCCGCGGATACCGTTCATATACAGGTCGGCGCGCAACCAATTCAGGCTTGGGCTTAGCCCTATTGGTTACGTCACTAAACTATCAGTCAGCGGATCCCGGGATCGAGACCAGCAGCCAACATTGGAGGAGCGGAGGAGCGCTACAGAGCGAACTGAGGGGTCAAGGGTCCCGCGGGACTATCCCCCTTAGTTTTGTTGGGGGATCCAACTGGGGGCCCGTTGGGCAGGACCAAGGACCAAGTGTCAACGGTCCTCCTCCTCGTATTCCGTTTTCCTAAAAAAAATTCTAAGTTTTATTATTATTATTATTATTTTTTTTTTTCCCATTCCTGAACGTGGTCCGGCGGTGGCACCAGATCCGGGCTTGGATTAACCCAAGAGCCTAGTTCAGTGGGTACGCCCGCGACCTATTGGAATACCGGCCCAAGTTCGGTCCAGGTGATGAAACTTGATTGATGAGTAATACCAAATATTTTGAATTGCCTGGGTCCGGCGAGCTTGGAGGGAATGACTCGGGGCCGATACTCGGCCGGTCCTTCGGGACATCCGTTAAAATTGGAACGATACAGAGAAGAGTAGCATGGCCGCGCACTAGGATGGCTCGGAGGCTGGTGCGAGCGAAGTCCTTTGGCTTAGGCTCGACTATAAAGTCTCACAGCCCACTGATAACGGGGCTGTTCCGGCATGCAGATCTCGACCGAATACAAACTAAGTAAGTAAGCGCAGGCTTAGGAGGAAGGAGGAGAGGAAAGAGTGACGAAAGAGAAGGAAGTGGCGGGGAAATTGACGAGGAAGGAAGGGAGGTGAGAAAGGAAAGAAGAGGGAGGAACTCATCTTCAGCAGAGTTACAGGCAGTCTATGGAGGCAATAGCGGACGATGGCGCGGGCAAAAGTACATAAGAGGAAATGAGTGAACCTATCCGGGTTCTAGCTAAAGATTCATTCCAGTTTTGCCCATCCTATCGATGGAGGTAGCGTGAGTCTAGCCACGAGGTAGGAGATTTACCTGTTCGGGTGGGTCGTCGTCAAGGTCTTCCTAAACGGGTTGTTCGTCCTCTTCCTCGCATAGCGGTGGTCTTCAATCGTTCGTTGTCCAGGCCCTCGTTCGTATCAGTACTTTTCGAGCTTCATGGTCGGGTTTCGCCTCAGCCACGCCTCTAAGTAGACCTGGTCGGGTTGTCGGTCAGGTGCACTCAGGGATAGAGGGTGAGTCGTGAGATGGGGAGCAAGGGGGAGTAGAGCATCATTGAAGGACAAAAAGGGGGGGGAGTACCTACCGCATAGGAATCTCTCAGTGTTCTGGTAGAAGGGTTACTCTCACTTATTGTTAGTGGGTTGTCATACGCCGGGCTCGTACTCGTAGGTGCTGCACACCGCCATATCATCGTTAGGGGTAATCACTCTATTGTCTATGATACTCGTAGTGCTTACCAAGAAGGTCGTCTATGCGCCGGCGTGTTTGTTATGGGGAAGTCGATCGGTCCCGATCTTATTAGTACAATACGCTTAAACTCATCTGGCTGAGTCTGAACCAGATTCATAGAGGATTGAAGAAACAGAGAATTCTTGTGATCGTGCCCTACATCGCCAGCAGAGAGTGATCACACGACTCTTCCTCATCCTATTGGCCGTTCTCTTCGTCCACATGGTCGCCTCCCTCGTTCATGGAGTTCCAGGAGTGGCTCCTGTAGGTGTTCGGGTTGCTGTTGATAGTATTGATTAGAGATCCTATTGATCGCTTTCCTAAGTACTGGTCTCCTCACCAATATTTCCCGCAGGCTTCGAACGAGTCTGACTATCGTGATGGCTAGGTACGTACAGGCGTTAAGGACTGCTGCACAGAGAAAGAGAGACTTACTAGGTGGAGCTGCTGATATTGCGCGGTCTCTGCCCGAGGCCCCCATGTATTTTTTCTCTGTTCTTGCGGAAGATTCCTTCTCAGTTAATACATACATCAAACTGGCACTCTGACAGGGTGCTCAGTTAATACGTACATCAAACTATTGAAATTATTGGCATGAGTTCGAATCCGGTGGTGGTCATTGTGTCGTCTACAGCCAGTCGAGTGAGGGTATGAGGTAGGCTGTGTCAGACCGTAAAGTTTACTCGCGCCTTGCCGTAGGACTTGGCCTACAGAGGGAGAGCTCATCTGCATCTCAAGGAGCCAAATTTTACAGTGGTTTTTAAACAGGGCATCTCGCATCCTAAAGTTTCACGTTCTTCTGGTATGATGAACTATGTGTTGTGCCTATGTGCCATCGATCATAGCCCTTATGACTACTTGTGAACTGCCACTTGGTTGACCCTGTTGATAGACATACGCTTGTCTTAGGAGACAAGGTCATGTAAGCCTATGAGCACTGTGCACTATGAAATACGAACTCGAACAGCTTACTAGACTAGTTGTCTTCTAATTTGGTGGTTTTCTTACCGCTCAGATAGGCGTGGTAACTTTTAAGACTTCAAGTTAAAAGGTGTAGTATATCCCAACTTCAAAAGAGGGGGGGGGGTCTTATGGATACCTTCTCAGTTGGAGTGATTTGTATAGGTTGGGATTGACAGATTGAGAGCACTGTCCTGATTTTAATGGGTGGTGGTGGATGGCCGTTGGAAACTCACCAGGTCCAGACACAGCAAGGATTGGCAGACTGAGAGGGCAGAGGTCCGCGGCTACGGCCAGCTGACGTTCTCAGTTTAAGGTAGCTGGCTCCCTCAAGATGTTGGGCTTGCTGGGCGTACTGCTGGGTTTCCCCTGCTAGTTTGTTGTGCACTCCACCTTTGTTGTGCACGATTACTGAGTCTTTGCTAAACGTGTGGTTGTTTCGACATTGGGCGCGGTGTGTATTACAATGTACGGCACCAAGCTTTATGGCTTGCTGATCTTTGCATTGTGCGATAGCTACTACGCTTGCCGAGTACGCGCGATTGCTAAGTGCGCCACGTTCTTGCTGTGTCTGACGCTGTAAAATGCTGGGACGTGTTGGGCATTTGGCTGAGCTCGCTGAGTACTATTGTGCATCAACGTTGTATGGTTAGAGGGTTGCTGTGTTTTCAGCGTTGCATACCTTTGTGGTGGTCTGCTACTGCGCACGTTTGCTGCATTTTCACTTAGACTTGTGTCTTTAGCTATGCAAGACGTTGTATACAGTCGACATCAGATTGCAGCAATGCTGTACACTTTGTCCCAATCCGCTTGCGGGCTACCGTGTTGCACGACATTGAGGTGATTGCGGCAAACTCTCGGCCGTTATACTGCTACCGTTACAACTGCGGTATTCGCTGCGCCACTACACTACGTTTCGCCGTATACTGCTGTATCTCCGATAGGCTAAGAAGTTGTATCATAGTTGGGCACGGTCTTTCTAGGTTGTGAAGAGCAGGCTCGTCGGAGAGAGGGATACGAAAGCTTGGAGGAGTAACCGAGTTTAATGCAATAGGGGCTATCGCGGTGACTTGGAGGGCAGTCAGGGGAACGGTATTCTACGACTGGTCAGGTCTCGGCTACTTCTGCTACGTTTCATTGGCCATCATTGCGGGGCCCTCAGGAGATTGAAGATAACGAGGCCCTCTCACTGTGAGTTGAGTTGTCCCGCCCTTGGATCTCTAGAGTCTAATCCATCTCCTTCTACCCTTCTTAGTCTAATTCTAATCTAAGGCTACGAGAGGAAGGCGGCAGGCGGGATTGCAACCCGTAGGTCCGCATCAAGATCTTGTGGGAGGTCCACCCACCGATTGCGGGAGCTCTAGCGGAACCCACGCGGGGTTCTGGAGGCAGGGAACTTCAGGTATAATTTCGTCTGACGCGTGTGATCCCTTCCCCTAACTGTTTTTCCTTTGGGTATTTGACTAATACTATGACAGGATATTACTTTTTGTTTTGCTATGTATGTCAGGACATGTTTGGTGGAAGGCTAAATGAACAAGTATATATGAGAGTTCAAATAAACCTTGAGCAAATCCAGACAAAATGAATTGGGGGAAGATGGGAGAAAGGTATTTTGCATGCGTTTGACCGGGTCAACCCAAGGCTGAATCCCTATAAGTTGAGTGGGTTCAGTGCTATGTTTTATTTATGTTTGCTGGGCTGACTGTATGATCTTTGATGGTTGGGCCTATCCTAAGTTGGACGGATTGGTCGATGTTTCTTTCCTGGGGTTTCTGCACAGGAGGATGGGCACCCTAAGTTGGGAGGACTCAGAATCCTGATGTTTCTTTTTGGGTTGCTGAAAACAGAGTTGGGAATATTCTAAGTTGCGTAGACCCAGTTCTGTGTGTTTTTCTTTTGAGGGGG